GCTCACCGGGGCGGCCAAGCTCTCGGCGCAGCTCGCGGCCCCGGTGTCCGAGCAGATGGTGAGCGCGGGGCGAGGGCCCTCGGCCGTTGGTCCGCGGAGCTAGAGCGGGGCCGGGGGGATGGGGAGCGGACCTGGACCGCAGGCCGGCCGGCGTGCTGGCGAGTTTCCCCCACTTCCCGGGCTTTCCCAGGAACCGGCAAAATTGGGGCCCCGGGGAGCTTGCGGGGGGAAGATGGAGGGAATGGGAAAGTGACCGAATGAACGCCCTACTCGCCCCACTTGCCCCTTTCACTTTCGCTTGAGTCATCGGCAGGGGGTGGTGGGCGTTGGTGTGTGTGTGGGGTGGGGGTGGTAATAAACGTAAGGGGGCGTGACCTAAAGGTCGCACAGCCAGTCAGGAGGCCGATCCAAACTTGAAAGTTCCCTTGTCTGTACCCTGTCTAGTTCCGGACACGTGGGGAAGCTATGGTGCTCTAGGGGCCCCACCTGAAAGAAGCCAGGGTTGGGGACCCCCACCAGCCAGTCTCCTGGGAAGGCTCAGGGGTGGGTGGTTTAGGGAAGCCCATCCCCAGAGCCGTACACACTAGTGTCCCTTGGCAGCGCAGGAGCCAGGGAGAGCCGAGGTGGGGGAGCAGGAAAAGTAGCTCCGCCCCCTCCAAAGGTGGTCATTTGGCCCAGGACGGAGCCTGTCAGCAGGTGGAATCTCAGAGGTGCTTCAAGGCCCTTTGTGACTGCAGCAGTAAGACCCAGAACCCGACACAAGAGAGGCTGGGTGGAATCCGCTTAGTCAGCAACAGTCTGCCCTGCCACCCTCTCCTCCCCATCTCCAAAAACACCCTGGACAGGAGCTTCCAGAGAAGCCAGGCCAGACACAAAGGAAGTAGCTGTTTCCAAGGCCTTGGCCCTAGAGGCGGAAAACCCAAGGCCAGTTCTCTTGGGTATTCACAGAGGCCCAGCCCAGCCCTGCACCATCACCCAGCTGTTCTCATTTGGAACAGAGCATAAAGCCTGTTGGTGGATTCCAAAGCTCAGCCCCACTTGGAGGTCCTTTCCTTCCCAGGCTTGTCTCAGCTCTGGACCTGCCCTCCATTAGGGGAGGCCAGGTGAGTGTGCAGGCACAAAATGCCCCAGCAGAGTGAAGGGGCAGTGGGTTGTGGCGTGTGGCTGATAGGCATTCTCTGCTGTCCCTAGAGAGCCCTGTTTGAGCAGTTTGCTGAGGTGTTCCCGTTGAAGGTGTTCGGCTACCAGCCAGATCCCTTGAGCTACCAAGCTGCTGTGGGCTGGCTGGAATTGCTGGCTGGGTCGCTGCTGGTCCTGGGCTCCTCCATCCTGCAAGAGATCAGTAACATGCTTTTGACGCTGCTCATGATTGGTAAGGGGGCAGGAGGGGCGCTGGTCAGCTGGGCAGAGGGAACGGGGGTTAGAGGTCAAGGGGATGGAGAGTTCCCCCTTCTTGTGGCACCCGACTTTCTGGGGGCCAGGAGCACTTAGTACTTTACTGCAATTGCCATAGTCTTCAGGCTAGGACAGGAGCTTTTCAGACTTAACATAACACTAAGCCATGTCAGATGTACCTTCTACCTCATCAGTTCTAACGGCTGCATATTATTCTGTTGCTAGGATGTACTGCAACCCCAGAGCCTCCAGACCCACCCTCCCATCCCCCAGCTCCTGGAATGAGGGGATAGAACAGCAGCTGCCGTTTGACTTATGTGTCCGGCAGGTGGGTGCAGACAGCAGGGAAGCTGGGGGCCCTTGCACAGAAAGGAAAAGAATTTCCCCGGGGCCGGCAGCCAGGCCCCCTCATAGGTTCTCTGCCTTTAGGAAAAAACAGCTGCTGCTTCAAAGGGCAGACATCTTTAGGCTCTTCAGCTGTATCCCCTGGCTTTGTGTCACTATCACTGCTGCCCCACCTCCCCCAGCCTTTATTTCTATCTCCGGAGCGTCTCTCATTTCTAGATCTTTGCCATGCCTCTGCTATTAAACCCTGGGCCACCTCTTTCCCAATAAATGTAAGATTAAGGATCAGGGAGCAATTGTAGCAACATCAACCTCAGCCTATTGGCTGAATTGCCCCTGTTTTTTCCTGCTTGTCTGACAGGACTACTTAGTTCAAGGGACCTCTGCCTCCTGGTCTGGGGAGGCCAGAGAGATGAGCATGGCTGGTTCGCGGGGCGTGGCTTGGGAGGTGTGGGAGCCTTTAGCTGGAGTGGGTGACCGGGCTGCAGATTCCAGAGCTCTCAGACCTCCTGGGTGCTTCCAGGGAGCCTAAAGGACTTAACTTTCCATTTTAGGGGCTATCTTTACTCTGGTGGCACTGAATGAGTCACTGAGCACGTACATCCCTGCCCTCGTGTGTTTGAGCCTCCTGATACTGCTGGATGCCTGTCCAGACCCACAAGAACGAAGACTGCAGGTGTATTCCACACAGCGACTCTACAACCCTGCCCTCAGGACACGCTGGGCCATCCAATGAGGAAACCCACCTTCCTGTCTGGTCCCGCTTCCCCTCCGTCATGTTTACTGCTCCTCCGTCATGTTTACTGCTCCTTGTTAGGAGCACATGTCATACAGACTAGCATGCCTTATGTCACGTGAAAGTAAGGAGAAAAAAAATCGCCCAAACTTCAAATCCCACCGCTCCCTCCCCCATCCCCAAGCCACTTTTAATTTGCTGGTGTGACTATACTGCTCTATATTTTTTCTATGTTTTGATACTGGATTTTTTTAATGAAAATGAGATAATATATATTATTACATTAAAATAGATATCGCCCTTCTACCTCCTCATTTTTAACAGCTGCATTGTTCCATTGTAAGGATACACTGTCATGTATGTACCCTGCCCGCCCCCTTCCCGAAACATGTGGGTGGTTTCCAATGTTTTTGATCCATACCCAGCAAACTAAGACCGAACGGATTGCCCTCAAGCCCGCCATGCCTCAGCAACCCTCCAGGCCAGGGGAGCTGTCCGGTGGAGAGTCCACGGCGGCCAGCTTCACGGAAGCAGGCTGCCAAGTCTTTCTCCTGTGGAGCGGCTGCTGGGTTTGGTGCTATAACCACTGTGCCACCAAGGCCCCACAGTAAGTCACCTTAACATACTCATATTTTTCCCCGTCTCTAGAAGCGAGAAAGTGCTCACTGTGTCCATTTTCAATGTATATTTGAATCCACATTTGAATTTTACATGCTATTGCCTGTTTCAGCCGCACAGCATTCCTCCGTTCCTTTTCGTCCGGGTACTTTGATTTGCAGCACTAACACATGGGCATGTCTTGTTTTCAGGACCCGAAGCGTCCAGCCCCTGGTGGTGAAGCGGGGCTCCCAGTCCAGTGCTACTTGGCCAAACCCGTGGAACGGGGAGTGTCAGGGAAAGGTCCCCAGCCTGGAAGTCGTCGCCGAGGGAGCCTTTTGGGATAGGGCTCCGAAGTGGATGGAGTCATTCACTCTTCAACATGACATCTTCCCTCCCTGGCCCTGTGTGACTTTGGGGGAAAGTGAACACGCTAGGGCACCGACTACCATGTCATCAAACTTTCACCTTAGCTCAGAGGGGTCCTCCTTTGGAAGCATCATGTTCTCCCACAAGGGAAAGGTTTGTATGCAGATGCCTCTGCCACCCACTCCCGCCCATGGCTTTGGGGTACCCAGGGGAGTGAAAGAGGAAGGCCTGTGCCCCTTCATTTCCTCTTCACTACGGAATAGTCATTCCTGCTCTGCTGTGACTAGTAGTGGCTCTCAGGACAATTGCCCAGCCTAGGTTTTGAAGAAAATGTTATTTACACAGTATAGTCCCTGCACATAGCGACTTCAGTAAAAATGACTGTCTTTACCATGGGGTAGATTGCAAGGAGAACCAGACTGAGTTAAGTGTCAAAACAGCAAAGAGATTTTTCTCTCTTGCTGACATCTAGAGCGAGAACAGCTCCAAGTTCAGTATTGATCAATTTGCCTGCTTAACACTGATTAAGAAGCAAAAACACCTAGGCTCTTTGGACTTCCACTCTGCTGCTTTCCATTTATTGGCAGGTCAGCACTGTGGTAAAGCACTTGCCTGCTAACTGAAAGGTGAGCGATGCAAACCCACCAGTTGCAGGTGAAAGATGTGGCAGCCGCTCTTTGCCTGGACAGTTCTTTGACCTATAGGTCGCTATGAATCGGATCCGCCCGATAGCAATGGGTTTGGTCTTGGTTCTCTGGCTCGCACAATAACTGCAACAGCTCCGACAGCGCGGGTTAAATAATGTACTATGCAAAGACGGAGAGGGGGCAGCTTTCTTCGAAGACTCTTAGGTTCCAAATTCCCCCCCATCTCCTGTGGGTTATTGGCCAGAGTCATGTTACATTTCCATTCCTAGACATTGCCAAGGAGAATGGAATTCCCGTGATCCATTTTAGACTAAGACTCACTCTGGTCAGCAAGGAAGATGGGAGGTAGGTAATGATCTCTACCACTTAGCAACTGTGACCTGGGGCAAGTAATAATTTGTCCCTCATTTGCAAAACACGGGCACTCACAGCAAACACTTTCAGAGTTGCTTAAAGGATTCAATAAGTGACTGTGCTTCCAACTCAGCAATATTATAAAGGGGTTCTGATACCCAATGTTTATAGGAACAGACAGCCTCATCTTTCTTCCACAGAGCAACTGGGAAGGTTTGAACTGCCAACCTGTGGTTAAGCAGCCCACTACCTAACCTGCAGGGCCACCAGGGTGCTTTGCCACGTAAATGCTCAGTAACCCTTAACTATGATTAAATATCAATTGCTACAGATAAGAAGAGTCCAGAGGATTAAGTGCGTACATGACAGACTAGGTTAGAACAAAGGTCCGTCATACTCCAGTACCCGCATTTGCCCCTGCCCTAGCTCCAAAGCTGAGACTTGGTGGGCAGGGCACCTTTCCCTGCTCAACTTGGGAGAAGACGGGGTGATTGAGCCAATGTGTTCAATTTACCCAGCTTTCCAGAGTTAGCTCTCCGCGGACACATTGTACAGCCCATAAAAGGAGAGCCTTCAGCTCACAGGTTCCAAACTGCCGCCACCCATTCCAGGGTGCCCCAGCCAGCCTGTCTCCAGGCAGGACTGGAAATAAAGCCTCTCACAACTGGTGTGAGATTGAAATTTCCTGTTTACCACCGGCCTTGGCCTGTAGGCTGATGAGCTTCCGTAAGGCCCTTAGTTTGCCTGTAGGGCCAGCCCAGCAGCTGCAAGAGAGGCAGGGTATTGGAAGAGTGGACTGGCCAGCCAGTGTGGAGGAGCAGTTAGATTGGCAGCAGCAGGAGCCCCAACAGTCCAAGAACAAGACAGCCTAGGGAAATGGGGCCCCCAAACCATAGCTTAAATCTAGGGCAGTTCAGTAACAAGCCTGGCCTTCTAAATCCCTCCCACCCCGTCCCTCCTGCTCTGTAATGATATTCCCCTTGGGGGACAGCCCGCTACATCACAAAGTCAACTGACAGTTACCACAGGTGGGCCCCAGTCTCTCCAGCTGTTGAGCCCATTCTTCATGCCCTGTCCAGGATTAGCTGGCCAATGAAAGGGTCTGGGGAGTGGGAGTGGGAGGGGATTTGCCCAGTCTGTTCCTTAAAGCTGGGCCTCTGGCCGGCGCCCAGAGAAAGCTCCAGGAGTCAGAACAGCAAGAGGGAAGAGGGAAGACCTGGTGAGAGAGCAAGGGGGAGGTTCGGGGTGGGAACTCAGAGGGGCTAGGGCTGTGATGGAGAGAGCCCAACGGGAAGGGGAGAGGGGGACACCCAGGGTTCCGGAAAAGATTAGAGCCTCAGAGTCACAAAAGCAGAAACTCCAATGTTGGTATGGGAGGGACTGAATTCTGGGGCCACCCTGGGGATGTGGGTATGATACCTCCCCAAATACAAAAGGGACGTGGCTGGTGCAACACACCTCTCTTGAGGAGAGTAGGGATACGCCCAGATGTCTCTTGTTTGCTTGCTTGGGGTGTCTGTGTCTCTAATGCATGTGTGTCTGTGTGGGTGTACACATTTATCTGTGCCGCCTGACAGGGAAAGAGCACACAGTTAAGAAGAGCCTCCCCAGTGTCAGGCACAGCGCTCAGCGTTTAATTTATGTTTTCTCATTATCCTCCCAACAACCCAATGACGTTTGGATTTCGTTTTTTCATTTGAATTTTATTTTTGTTGTTGAGAATCTGCATAGCAGAACACACACCAATTTTTTTTTTTAATTCAATTTTTACGGTGTGATCTGGGATCGTTGATTACATTCTCTCACCCTCCTTTCCTGAGTAGTTGGTCTTCGTGAACATAATGAACTGCCCCCGAAGCATACCGGCCAGTCATTGAGCTACTAGCCACAGGGTCAGCAATTCGAACCCACTAGTGGCTTCGCAGGAGAAAGGTGAGGCCGCTGCTCCCGTACAGACTTGCAGCCTCGGAGAACTAAAGGGGCAGCTCTCTTCTGTCCAGGAGGGTTGCTGAGTCTGAAGCCACTCAGTAGTCAGTCTGAGTTTTTTTAAGTTTCCCTATAGGAGCCCTGGTAGCCCTGGCGGGCAAGTACTAACTGCAAGGCCAGTGTATCGAAACCACCAGCCACTCTCCAGGAGAAAGAAGAGGCTGTCTGCTGCTATAAAGAGTTACAGCCTCAGAAGCCCCATACAGCGTTGCTATGAGTGAGCACGGACTCACTGGTAGTGGATTTGGGTTTGGGGTGTAAAGTTCCCTTGAGTCAGGCCTAACAACTCAACACCTAGCTGTAAGAGGAAACCAGCCTCTAACAGAAGGCGCGGTTGTATGGTTATAATATATAAAGTTTATAGTAAAGCCATAGAGGATAGGGAAGATAGGAGAGAGAATAAAATAAAGGAGTCAGACACATTTTATGGTAGCATGCTCCCCTCGGCCCCTCTTGGTGGTTCACGTGGAGGTGGGAGAAGAGAGCATCTTTCCTCTCTTGGGATATGTATAGGTAGCCATAAGACATGCGCATATTCAGTAGTTACATACATCACAAGGTGGGTGGTAGCCACAGTAAGGTCCTTGAGCTTACAGTGAGGAAACCTAATACCTGTATTGGGGGAAGGCATGAGGGGGGTTGGGTAACGTGGAGGGAGGAGATAGCATAAGGATGTCTGCTTCTATAAGGAGATACAATCTGTTGTGCTCAGTTTAAGGCAGCACAGCTGTTAGGGGAGAATCTGAGAATGATATTTACAGCAGGATAATGTACTTGGACTTTATCTCTAACTTACCAATGGGGTGGCTTTCCTACCGTGGAATACTAGCTTTCCAGATTCCCTCTGTTACAAGTTAGGGAATAGATTCCTCGTCATATTTCCTTCAGTGTTAGTTTCCCACACCTCACAACAATGACAAGGTTCAGTCTTGATTTCCAGTGTTTTTGTTGTTAAATGCCATCATGGCTCCTGCTTAGACCCTTTGTACAACAGAACGAAACACTGCCTGCTCTGCAGCATCCTCACAATAATTCCTGAGACGGAGCTCATTGTTGCCAACGCTGTGTCAGTCCATCTCACTGAGGCTCTGCTTCTTCGGGACTGATCCTCTACCAAGCATGATGCCCTTTCCCAGGGACGAGTCCCTCCAGTGGGAAATAGACGAAGCTTTCTACTCCTGTAAAACTTTACAGTCTTGGAGACCCACCGGGACAGTTCTACTGTCTCCTATAGGGTCACTGAGAGCCTGAATGGGCTTGATGGTGGTGACTTTGAGTTTTTAGTTCCTCCTGATAACTTTGGAGCAGATAGCCAAAGTACATGAGACCATGTACTGAGAAGCCTCTGGCTACACTTCCTCCAGGACAGACGTGTTTGTTCTAGCAGGCCATGGATCCATGCTACTTCCAGCTTTCTTAGCCCACACCATATTCAAATGCTTCAGCTTTCCCCAGACT